TCCATAATGTAGCCGCTTTCTTGTGAATCACTTTTCACAAATCTCTTTGTTGGTCTGCCTATGTACCCTTGCCTGAGTTTATGCCTGTGATACTGGTGTCGGTGTAGACACCTTAAATTGTGAGTGTTATTCATACATTAAAGCGGTTAATGATTTTGGAACTTGCTGCACTATGATCTCTTTCTTTTGCCTTTGAATATGGTCCCAATGGTACGGAGATATATGATAAAAAGGTGATATATACCCCTGGAATCTACACTTATCTTTGAATGGTGGCCACTCATTCTATGGGATATCTTTTACCTGGATAGCATTGCATCTAAGAACTGGATTGATATCTATTGCTCCCAGAGCAAGAGTGTTTTTTGCTGGTCCATTTGCTCATCAGCATTAAGCTCTGGTGAGTGATCCAAATTCTCTTGGTGGTGGATTTAGCACGGTGAGGACATTACTTGATTTTGGAAGATATAATTTGTGGACATTTATTTTATTTATAAACACTTTTTCTTTTTTATAGAATATATTTTTTCTGTTATTTTTTTTATGTTTAGCGCATTCCTTTTGTTTTAGTTGTTTTGATCAAAAAATTTATGTGAGTTTTTTGAAGTGGGAATTTGCTGCTTTGGACATTTTAGGGTGTGGCGATTTTCTAAACAATACTTTGATAGTATACAAAAATGTCAGCTGATATTGCTTTTAGAATAGTTGAGCAACACTGACTTTAAACTGGTCATATTGTTGACTCATTTATTTATTCAAGATTAGGTGCACGCTGTATAGATGCAGGAATACATTTTTTTCTACTGTGTTTACTAGAACTTACCTAAGCCAAGCAACACATGACAGCTCTAAGCAAAGCCCAGATATTGTTAGATCAGTGTTTCCAAATAATGCTACAGCTTCCAGGTTTTTTAGGCTAGTGCTGACAGGTGTATTTCTAGACAGTTAGCTTCCACTACCTCTATCAGAAGGTTTACTCTTATAAAGAGAGCACAAGGAACCTTTCCATAGCTTATAAACCATTTTCTTGTCCCTACTAACCAACATTTTTGATTCATGACTAACATTATGGGAACTATTTATAAATTGCATTCCCTAAAATGGGGTGAGGCATAAAACAGATCTAAAACACACCCTTCCACTGACTTGGTAAGGTAAACCCTTCAGGCCTCAATATCACAGCTTGTGCTAAATGCAACACCTTGGGTGTGTCAACAAGGTCATTATTAACACATTTCAGTGTATTATTTCAAGGATATTTACTTACAAAATGATTAAGGTCTTTTTATTGTTCTGTAGTGCAATTGGGTAGCAGGTTAGCTAACTAGTGATCTCACTGTAATTGTGTCAAGCGGATAGTCCATAGAAAAGAACAATTAGATGACCGTATATACTCAAAGAGTCTCTCATAATCTTAAAATTATTTCTGTCATATATGTAACATAATTCAACATAAACCAAGATAATCTTCTTGTCATTTCAACGGCACATAATTATAGAGCTGAGATAAAAGAATTGTCACTGCACACTGAACTAAAAAGTCTTCTCTTTAAAGGGAAACTGTACTAGTTTTAGGTCAGTTTTATTTAAATTATTTAAAGTGGACCTGAATTTTAAAGGAAAACAATTGCTATCCTATATGCGTCATTTAGAAATGTTAATTCTGCCTAAGATGTACCCTGGAAATAGATCTTTTATCTTGATTTCCTCTGAAAAATAGCAGTGCATTTCCTAGTATATGAGAGTGCCTGGGCTCACCAGTGCCTACAGCCTCATAGCTGTATATCTGCAGCGTGAGATCTAAGTCGCTTCTAGTTTTGATTGACAGTCTCAAAAGATTTGAAGTGAGATTGTGTGGTGTCACTACTGTACTGCTCACTGTTCTGCTTACTAGAGGCTCTGAGGGAAGAAGGAAGGTGTACTTGAGGGCCTACAGTGCAAGAATCTCCCTGCTTCTCCGTCATCTATTTTGTAGACCTGTCTTTTCTGCACTTTTCCATTTGTTTCTTGAATATTTCATTCTTCTTGAATAAACATTCAGGAAGTTGAAAATAAGTGAGCGCTCAATCAACACAGTGAATAGCGACCATGCACCAAAGGCACCATATAAGACCTTCAGGTAAACAGTAATATACTAAAAGGGTGCAGCGCTGGTAAAAATCACAAATATAATGTATATATGCTAAATTCATATATAGATAATTAATCATCAATAAGGTGACATTGTGCAAATTCATATGCAGTATTCTAGTTGCATATGAATTTGCACAATGTCACCTTATTGATGATTAATTATCTATATATGAATTTAGCATATATACATTATATTTGTGATTTTTACCAGTGCTGCACCCTTTTAGTATATTACTTGAATAAACATTGTATGTCACACTTTCACTATCAGTCAGGGGAGTAGCACTGATATAAACAACCAAAATTCATGCAGAAGCACAGTGCAGAACAAGGCATGCTAACAGGGGCGGACTGACCATTTGGAAACTCGGGCACTGCCCGAGGGCCCGGGGTCAGTAAGGGGCCCCATGAGATGCCCCGGTACCTTTTTCATAGACTTTTTTGAGTTTGGGCAAGGACACAGGGGCCCCATGATCCCCTATTGCCTGGGGGCCCCATGAGTTGTCAGTCTGCCCCTGCATGCTAAGTTAGTATTGGAGAAATAACAGCTACATAGAGACCACAGACAATACTGGTGACTAGTTTTCACTCTGCTTGCTTTTTTGGCCAGAGCTTCCAGAATGCAGGTCTGCTTTTAGTTGATAGGTTTTTTTATTTAGGTTTGTTAGGTGTGGTGCAGGTTGGGAGTTCCTTTCAGCGGGAACATTTCGTCCTAGCTGCACTGCTCATTGTTTCCTCAGGAAACCGAGGAAAAGACAATGATTGGCTGCTACCTCAACACTTGCAACAGGGCAGGGGAGTCTGAAACTGGCCACCGCTTGGTCAGTAAGGAGACCCACCCACTTCTCTTGGAGCAGCAGTATGCAGCAGGGACCCATGTGGTGAGCAGATACAGTCAGGTCCATAAATATTGGGACATCAACACAATTCTAACATTTTTGGCTCTATACACCACCACAATGGATTTGAAATGAAACAAACAAGATGTGCTTTAACTGCAGACTCTCCGCTTTAATTTGAGGGTATTTACATCCAAATCAGGTGAACGGTGTAGGAATTACAACAGTTTGCATATGTGCCTCCCACTTCTTAAGGGACCAAAAGTAATGGGACAGAATAATAATCATAAATCAAACTTTCACTTTTTAATACTTGGTTGCAAATCCTTTGCCGTCAATTACAGCCTGAAGTCTGGAACGCATAGACATCACCAGACGCCGGGTTTCATCCCTGGTGATGCTCTGCCAGGCCTCTACTGCAACTGCCTTCAGTTCCTGCTTGTTCTTGGGGCATTTTCCCTTCAGTTTTGTCTTCAGCAAGTGAAATGCATGCTCAATCGGATTCAGGTCAGGTGATTGACTTGGCCATTGCATAACATTCCACTTCTTTCCCTTAAAAAACTCTTTGGTTGCTTTTGCAATATGCTTTGGGTCATTGTCCATCTGCACTGTGAAGCGGCGTCCAATGGGTTGTGAAGCATTTGGCTGAATATGAGCAGATAATATTGCCCAAAACACTTCAGAATTCATCCTGCTGATTTTGTCAGCAGTCACATCATCAATAAATACAAGAGAACCAGTTCCTTTGGCAGTCATACATGCCCACGGCATGACACTACCACCACCATGCTTCACTGATGAGGTGGTATGCTCAGGATCATGAGCAGTTCCTTTCCTTCTCTATACTCTTCTCTTCCCATCACTCTGGTACAAGTTGATCTTGGTCTCATCTGTCCATAGGATGTTGTTCCAGAACTGTGAAGGCTTTTTTAGATGTTGTTTGGCAAACTCTAATCTGGCCTTCCTGTTTTTGAGGCTCACCAATGGTTTACATCTTGTGGTGAACCCTCTGTATTCACTCTGGTGAAGTCTTCTCTTGATTGTTGACTTTGACACACATACACCTACCTCCTGGAGAGTGTTCTTGATCTGCTCAACTGTTGTGAAGGGTGTTTTCTTCACCAGGGAAAGAATTCTTCGGTCATCCACCACAGTTGTTTTCCGTGGTCTTCCAGGTCTTTTGGTGTTGCTGAGCTCACCGGTGTGTTCCTTCTTTTTAAGAATGTTCCAAATAGTTGTTTTGGCCACGCCTAATGTTTATGCTATTTCTCTGATGGGTTTGTTTTGTTTTTTCAGCCTAATGATGGCTTGCTTCACTGATAGTGACAGCTCTTTGGATCTCATCTTGAGAGTTGACAGCAACAGATTCCAAATGCAAATAGCACACTTCAATTGAACTCTGGACCTTTTATCTGCTCATTGTAATTGGGATAATGAGGGAATAACACCCACCTGGCCATGGAACAGCTGAGAAGCCAATTGTCCCATTACTTTTGGTCCCTTATCAAGTGGGAGGCACATATGCAAACTGTTGTAATTCCTACACCGTTCACCTGATTTGGATGTAAATACCCTCAAATTAAAGCTGACAATCTGTAGTTAAAGCACATCTTGTTTGTTTCATTTCAAATCCATTGTGGTGGTGTATAGAGCAAAAAATGTTAGAGTTGTGTTGATGTCCCAATATTTATGGACCTGACTGTATGTCCTGTGAGCACTACTATGAGTTGCTCATTGCTGCTGTGTGCCTGCTGCGTGTGCTCTGTCTGCCTCTGCAAAAATCAAAAAGAGCAGATGAGGTGGATACATGGGAAGATGCAGATAGATATCTTGGATGTTAGGTAGTCTCCCTGTCCCAGGAAGGAATTTACCAATCTTGCAAATTCAATGCAAAATTAAAAAATTTTAAGGTATTTGTTGTTGAGGGATTTTAAGTCCAGAATGGGGGAAAATGTCCGTGCGTCTTATGGAGTGAATATGGAGCGGCCGGCACAGTATTCCCACCACCGCCGTGTTAGAATACCGGGCTGGCCACTCGGATCTACTGTGCAAAAGAACCTGCTCCTCAGTGCTACCTGTTCCACAGTTCAGCGGTGTCCTGCTTTCACCAGCCATCTTCTCTCCCTGGCGCCGGCATCTTCAATGTGGGCACCCTGCTGTGACAGCTTGCAGCTTTGTGAATGGCCACCTATAGTCTCCTGGGACCTGTCACGTGTCCAAGCAGACTATGAGGTGGGGGGGGAGGACAACTCCACGGAAGTGGGAACAGGTACCTGTCAAATTCGGGTATCCGCCCTCCCCCCCACTCCCCAAAGGTTCGCAGTCTCTGGTCATCTCCTGTATTATGTCCACAGTCTCTGGTCATCTCCTGTACTACAGTATGTCCGCAGTCTCTGGTCATCTCCTGTACTATGTCCGCAGTCTCTGGTCATCTCCTGTACTGTGTGTGCAGTCTCTGGTCATCTCCTGTACTGTCCGCAGTCTCTGGTCATCTCCTGTACTATGTCCACAGTCTCTGGTCATCTCCTGTAGTACGGTCTGCAGTCTCTGGTCATCTCCTGTACTATGTCCGCAATCTCTCGTCATCTCTTGTACTATGTCTGCAGTCCATTGGTTTAGAATATTTTTTTTCTTGTATTCCTCCTCTAAAACCTAGGTGCGTCTTATGGCCAGGTGCATCTTATGAAGTAGGGGGAGGATGATTTTTTTAAATTCTATTTTGTATCCCCTTGAAACCACCGATTAAACCCCCAGGTCTGTAACATCTGTGACCCAGAGGGAGGTAAACTGCAAACAGACATCCCCATTCTCTTAGGAATGGGGGAACCCCTTCACTGGGAAGAGGGCTTTGGGGAAGACTTGGTGGGCTTTGTGGGTCATGTCGTACACTGAAAAATAAAGAATTTCTGAAGCTGAAGTCTGGGTAGAGTGGTTAGGTGCCCTGTGTTTTGAGGAGATAAAGGCTCCTGAGGAGAGGGGGTTTGGCACCTTCTGCTCCCCTCCTGTTACATATTTATTGAATTTGTCAAGTACCTACCCAAAAAGACATCTGCCATGAAAGGGCATATATATACTTCTGCTGACTAGGCTTTCAGTCTCTAAATTCTGCACATGTGAATGGGGATTAGAACCATTCTAGTAATTTGTCTCATGACATATTCTAGGGCATCCAAACAAAAGAACAGAGCAGAAGGTAATTGCTGTAAATGCTCCATTAAAGCACAGTCAGTCCTGGAATACAGGATTGGTTGTCTTTTGCAGGATCTCTGAATGAAGGAACATTTTCAATTGATACAGTGAGATATTTGTTTAAGACTGAGATTGCTGGATCAGCTACAGGAACAGATGACTTTTTATTGAACTCTTTTTCCACTGGATAGATTTTTGGAGGAGTGAAAATCTTTTCTGGAGTGATCCAATCATCATAGATTGCACATTCTTTTTTTTGATGACTCAGATAGAGATGGAGAGCCTGGAGAAGGCACTTGACATTTTCTAACCCTGGACAAAGATGGCTGTATTAAAGCAGTTATTTGTCCATTAATTTGTGATATAGATGCAGAAAATCTGCTTTAGCCATGTAGGCCTCTTGTTGCACTCATGAGATAGAACTAAAGTTGGATGCAAAAACTGGTTTTCCTGCTCCGGTGCAATGAATTATCACTCTGAAGTTGAGTGTTGTGCGGGCCTCCATACAGCAAATGTTCACCTGAGGTTTAGCCATGGTTTCCTTTCACCCAGTTTCCACCATAGTTATTGGTGAGGGTATTCCTCTGTGGGGTACTCATGGAGCAGGCTGTAGAATATAGAATAAGCACATCTGGACCCTGTAAGGGATCTGGGTGGACATGGTGGTAAAGTGTGTGAATAGTGGTGTGATGTAACACCTGGTTATCCACCTGAGACTCAAAGCTCTAAGTCATTGAATTTTAGCAACAAGTTTAAAAAGTTTACACTATAAAGTGAATACATTCCAAACAGCCCCGATTTTCACAGTAATGGTCAGAGATACAGGATGTCCCTCTCCTACCTATCCACAATGCTGGACTTTGTGTAAAGTCCAGGCTTCGCCTGTCAAAATGGGCATACCCAGAAGGGGTGCTTAACCACTTCCCACTCGTGGGACGTCATATAAGATGTCCTAGACTTGAAGTGGAGATATCTGGATGATCCTGTCTGGCGGCGGAGCTGGGTAACCACAAGGCTGGCCGGGGACCATCTTTATGATCCTGGGAGGCCGAAAACAACATCATAAATGACGTAAACACTGCCATTTTTTCCTTGGAAAATAGAGATCAATGTTTTTTTTTTAATCTCATGTTTCCCAGGGTAGAGGAAATATCTGGGGTATTATTGACCCCAGATGTCTCCATAAAGAGTACCTATCATGTCTTATTCCTATGTACATGTTAGGGGGGAATATGATGGCTTGTAAAATACATTGCCATTGTTAATGTGGAGGTATAGTAAGACTTCATGTACAGGAGCCTAACCTGACAACCGGCCACTGGAAAACAGAAATTGCGGCCAAAACACGGTACCATGGTCACCGTGTTTTGTCTTTTCCTGTGATCGGCGGTCAAAGCATTCCTATCCTGAATGTGATTCTTCCTTATTTAGGAGAGCGAGGTTTAACCTCACTAAATGTGGCAGTTCCTAAACTCTACTAAAAGCCTATGTGTACATTGACACAAAGGCTTTTATGGAGTTGAGTTTAAGAGCTGCTCATGTACATGAAGCCTTAGTGGGATCATTATATATGCAAGAGAAGAATAGATTAAACTCAGCATGAGGTATATCAGAATTTAATTAATTATTGGTGAGGGTATTCCTCTGTGGGGTACTCATGGAGCAGGCTGCAGAATATAGAATAAGTACATCTGGACCCTGTAAGGGATCTGGGTGGACATGGTGGTAAAGTGTGTGAATAGTGGTGTGATGTAACACCTGGTTATCCACCTGAGACTCAAAAGCTCTAAGTCATTGAATTTTAGCAACAAGTTTAAAAAGTTTACACTATAAAGTAAATACATTCCAAACAGCCCCGATTTTCACAGTAATGGTCAGAGATACAGGATGTCCCTCTCCTACCTATCCACAATGCTGGACTTTGTATAAAGTCCAGGCTTCGCCTGTCAAAATGGGCATACCCCGAAGGGGTGCTTAACCACGTCCCACTCGTGGGACATCATATAAGATGTCCTAGACTTGAAGTGGAGATATCTGGATGATCCTGTCTGGCGGCGGAGCTGGGTAACCACAAGGCTGGCCGGGGACCATCTTTATGATCCTGGGAGGCCAAAAAACATCATAATGACGTAAACACTGCCATTTTTTCCTTGGAAAATAGAGATCAATGTTTTTTTTTAATCTCATGTTTTCCAGGGTAGAGGAAATATCTGGGGTATTATTGACCCCAGATGTCTCCATAAAGAGTACCTATCATGTCTTATTCCTATGTACATGTTAGGGGGGAATATGATGGCTTGTAAAATACATTGCCATTGTTAATGTGGAGGTATAGTAAGACTTCATGTACAGGAGCCTAACCTGACAACCGGCCACTGGAAAACAGAAATTGCGGCCAAAACACGGTACCATGGTCACCGTATTTTGTCTTTTCCTGTGATCGGCGGTCAAAGCATTCCTATCCTGAATGCGATTCTTCCTCATTTAGGAGAGCAAGGTTTAACCTCACCTAAATGTGGCAGTTCCTAAACTCTACTAAAAGCCTATGTGTACATTGACACAAAGGCTTTTATGGAGTTGAGTTTAGGAGCTGCTCATGTACATGAAGCCTTAGTGGGATCATTATATATGCAAGAGAAGAATAGACTAAACTCAGCATGAGATATATCAGAATTTAATTAATTTCAAAGTGTCAACAAGAGGAAGGTAGCAGTGGCCGTTTTACTCCAGGATATCTAGGAAAACTAGTGGATACCCATACTTAGGGTAATTATGATGACAAATATCAGACAGCAAGGAGAAGTGATATTGACGATGGTTGCATCATGGATGTGGACTAATGATTACTACCAACTTAGTTGGTAATATGTTAGTTTTGTGTTTATTTACAATGGCAGTTAATTACTAGCTAAAAATAAGCAAACATGCCTAAGGTGGCAACTAAATGAATACTTATAGACATGCAAATGATATCCATGAAACATATTTGATATATTCAAATCTTCTATTTGATCACCAAACATACATAACTGCATATAATATATAATTACATATCTGAAGATTTTTTTCTAGATTTGCAGCTCGATAATATAGTACCAATAAAAGTCCTACTGTCTATGGCTGATGTGGAGAAAAGAAACTCTTTGTTTTCTCAGAATCTTAATAAATTCATTACTGAGCCCTGGAACCCAGAGGCTTTGCTGAGCTTTGGGTGGGATAAAGCCTCCATTCCCTACCTGGTAGCCATACCTCATTAATGGTCTCTGCAGTCCATAAGTCTTTATAAGTCTGACTTGACCGATGGTCAGTGCTCCCTCTCTCCTGTGCTGTGGGAGCCTGTTTGTTTTGGGAAACCTATTAGAAGACACCCTGTTAGTCAGAAATTGATCAGTGTTTAGTTAGGGCTCAACTTAGCAGATTATTTGCTTGTTTTATGCTATGGACTTGCCTTACAAAGCCTTCCTGCTTTGAAACCATGTTTGCTGCCTTGCTGAATAAATCCTAAGTGTATGCATTGCCTGCAATACTCAGAAAAACAGAGAGAAGTGGGGGATACTAGCGAAAAACCTAACTTATATTAAGTTCCACCCACACAGCCACATCATTCATTTACAGGAATCTGTGATTGAGAAAACTGCAAGTCCCATCTGCCACTGCAGTAGATGGCTTGTATTTCTGAAAGGACACTGAGCATGCTGATAAGCACACTCCTACTCTGTTCACACTGCCTGCAGCTCTCTAACAGAAAGCCTGCACAGAGACACAGACAACAGAGCTGTAGGCAGTGTGTGCAGGAGCCTGGCACTGCACCCTCAACCCACTGATTTGGGGTGCAATGCTTTGCAGGTTCCTGTGGGAAAATAATAAATGCACTTTTTTTCCTGCAAAAAGGTGAACTTAACCTTTAAGTACTTGTTACCCAGACCATTTTGTAGTATGTACAAATGACTGCACCCACAGATAATGCAATTGTAATGTGAACCTGTTGAAATTGAAGTATCAGATGAAATAATGCTAATGTCTGTGAGTATATTCAGAAATATAAATGTCAGGAATATTAATACAAAGCTACATTAGTTGCCACTTATACACATGTAACACCCTCCTAGTTTAGCTAGGGGGAGCTAAATCCTAATGGTTAGATAGGAGCTGTTAGCAGCTCAGGTGTAATAGCCAGAGGGATCAAATTGTAGTCAGGGCTGAGAGGCTCTGCAGGTAAGCCCATCTGGAATTTCCCCCTGCTCTGAGGATTTTGGAGGAAGGCCTTGGAGGCAGCGGGTGGATCTGAGGAGTGGCTGGCTGCACTCTTGAGGGACCTCAGCCAGGGGCAAACTGACAACTCATGGGACCCCACAGGCAATAGGGGATCATGGGGCCCCTGTGTCCTTGCCCAAACTCAAAAAAGCCTATGAAAAGGGT